TTCCTCCCTCAACAGATCAACCCTAATGGCAGATCTTGTCCTGTTGCTCTCCCCTCAGAGGCAGGAACAGTGCCTTGGAAATATGAGTGTTCGATAAATATCGAAATATCGATATTTATTGATATCAGTAAATTTTTTTAAATGTACAATCTTTTTTTTTTTTTCCAGATTTTTAGTTATATTAATTCTAAAGAACACATTTCAGTTCAGCTTTTTTTTCTTTTCACTCTCACCAATCTTAATTGCTAGGTCATTTGTTTATCACCATCCTTTTAACTCCCAGGGCCAGTTGTTAGCAAGTCACTTAGACACAGTTAAAACAATAACTAGCATACATAAAAAGCAATATCCCAAAAGAAAACACATAAAAAGTCTACTGTGAAAATTAATCTAACAGCATCTCCCATTTCTCTTTTTTAAGTAGCTACCACTTAATGGCTTGTGATACATAGCTGCACATAATTATAAGAATATAAGATTGAATAGAAAACACAAACTAAATTATATTTTGCTTAAGTGGATACTGAAGTAATTTCAATTTTGAGGTTACCCGACTATACCTGAACTGCAAAATTGGAAAAATACCTGAGTATGTGTATAAATCTTGAAACTAGCTCCTTACTATAATCATTTTTTTAAATACCCCATGTAGGCAGAACATATTATCACTTGTAAAATCCCTTTATAGATTATATCTAACCTGATCCTCACAAACACCTGTGATACAGCAAGGCGGGTGTCACTGCCCTTATTTAAAGGTAAGGAGCTGGAACCAGAGAAGCTAAGTGATTTGATCAAGGTCACATGCAGAGCGCCTGTGCATATATTTGAAAATAATTTTCAGAAACATAAGAAGCAAGAGCTCGGCAAGTGTGCTACCATACAATTCTTGAAAGAAATCTGACCAGGTAATGAGATTGTGTCTACTAGCCTCACATGAAAATCAATTCCACTGCCCAGAAAAGGACAATAAATACTGATCTTGCCATTTTAATGCAAGAAGCAAAACACATTTTCATGGGTGTCACCAAAACACAATAGGACAGGTCTCACTGCTACAACACAGAAATGGAAATGGAGAGCTTGTCCAAAAGAAACATTTAATAGAAGAAATGAGAGAACGAAGTGTGCCATGAATGTAGTACTCCACCGCAGAGAATTCTATGAGCCCGTAATATAAAACTGGTTCTCAGATTTTCAATTCACCGGCTAAGTAATATTTGTAACACATCTAGGGCAATGAAATCAGGTTGCTAACATCCAATTATTTTGGATGAAAATGTTAAAAGATTTTTAAAAATGGCAGTTAACTTTTACTGACCATTTGCTATAAGTCAGGTTCTGTTCTAGGCACCTTACACACATTGGCTCATTAAGGCTTCATGGCCACACTAGGAGATATATATTTTTATCATCAGCCCTGTTTTATAGATAAGGCAATGGAAGCGAAGAGAAGGCCAGGTATACATGGTCTCATGTATAGCTCTGGGCAGAGCCGGAATTCAATCCCTGGCAGCAGGGCCCCAGGCCCGTGTTCTCAATTGCTGACTTGGGCTCTAGTACCCTCCAGCACCATCATTGCATAAAAAGGATAGTTTAACACAAAAAAAGCAGGCAGGGTATCTCAAAATGAGTCATTTCTTCAAATTTAATCTATTTAGCAGTATTAAAAACTCACTATACAGCCCCCCCTCCCCGTTTTGCTCAGGCTTTTGTAAACGTCATCATAGACCTCCCTCCACGGGTCTGCAGAGCAGGACTGGAGAAGCACGTGAATGGAGTTTCTGGACAAGGATAAAATAAAAGTGAAAGTCAAAGACTTTAAGGGTAGAAACACACAATGGATCATCTCTTTAGAAAGGGAACAACACATGAATCACAGAATCTTCATGTAGAAGACGTCTGCAGGGTCAACCAGTTCAATCCTTTTCTGAATACAGAAATCACCTTCTACAATGTCAGGTTCTGCTTGAATGGGTCAGCCACTGGAAACTCACTACTCATGATTCCGTTCCTGTCAAATTTGTGCAGACCCTCTGTTCTTCTCCATCACCTTTCTAAATTCTTTCCATCACTTCTCATTGGTGGAGCAAGGTTCCAGAACCTTTCCTAACCTGGGTGCTATCCCTAGAGCATACTCTATTTTGTGCTCTCTTTCATAAGATGCAGGGAGCAGAAATAGGTGTGATAATTATAGGGAGGCTAATTAGCACTGGTACAATAAGACTATCACCTCCTCCAACATGGGTGTTTGGCTTTCTTTATGCAACCTAAGATTATAGTAGGCTCTGTGTGTGTGTGTGTGTGTGTGTGTGTGTGTGTGTGTGTGTGGTGGGGGGATGGTGGTAAGGAAATAATAGTACAGAGTGATATGGATCATACTGTAGATCCATATGCATTTAAGCCAAATTCTCAATCTCTTTTATATATGCTGCTGCTAAATTTTATTACTCTAATTCCACAGTACTGTTGGGTTTTAAACCATACAGGATGAATGTGCAATTATTCCTACTACCTATCACCCTATTAGAGTCATCCACTGTTCAAGCCTGGCCGAGGACAATTTCTATCTACTTTGCAGACTGCTCAGAGGACCTCCCAGCTTATAGGCTCCATGACCTGCTCTCTGTGAGCCCCAAATGTTCACAAACCATCCGAGGGACAGTCAGGGACCCTCTAGTCTGCTGCACCTGTGTCCTTCCCTGTACCTCAGTCCCGCCTTCCCCCATGTCCCACTGCTCACTGGCCATGGCCACCAGTCTTCACATTTTTTTTTAAAGCCTCAGCTCAAGGAAGGGTGCAACTCTTTTCTTCATACAGTAAAGAGAAATTTGACTTCACTTTCCTCACCCACCACCTCCTCTCCCCCCCTCTTATTTCTAGCTCTGACACTCTGACCTAACATACTCCTGTTTCCTAAGATTGACTATTTCAACCATGTTCAAGGTCTGTGCATGACACTCCAAGAGTTGTGTCAACCTTGGGCTGCTGAAAACTGAAAAAGCATGCTTTGTCATTAGGCTTCCTTGCTTACATGAGGTTGAATATTTTTGAAGACATAGTGTTGGCATGCAAATATAAATTCAAAATTGGTTTTAATTTCTTTAAAATGACTGACAATCTGTAATAAAAGGTATGGTGTTTCTTTGAGAGTTATATATATACACATCAGGCAGCAGTAAAAAAATCCAAGCATATTCAGGGGAAATGTATGTAACAGTTGTGTCAGTAGCTGAAATGTACAGGCAGAAAATCAAGAGACAAGACAAAATCTGTAAGGGAGAACAGGACTGGAAACATTAAGTAGGCAGGGTTGTTAGTGACAAGAATGAAACAGATGGCTCCTCTCTCCAGTCTAAACAATGGAATTCTAACCCTTTTTTGGACAGAGAGGGAGACTATATATTGCTGTGCCCAAAAGAGGATTCCTTAAAATCACACTGAAGTGAAATCGCACTGAACGTACTGCTCACAGGGCATGCCTGGAGGACAGAAGGTCCCGTGGGCTCCCATGTCCTCACCCATAATAAGGGGGTGTCAGTATCTGCCCGGGAACCTTCACAAGGCAGTTATCAAATCAATAACAGGTTCGGAAGCAAGGCCTCTACTGTGAAATGATAGATCTGGTGTTATACATCACTACTGTTTGCCCTGCAACAGATGATAGGATCATGTATACAAGAAATATAAGAAATTATTTCACAAAAAAGAAGGGCAGTTTTATTCAACTAAAAAGAGAGAGGAGATGCCGTTGTTTGGAGACATGAGGAAGAGAAAGCATTTTCAAACTCCTTTCTCCTTGGACCTGCCAGCCTGGGCTGTGTGAAGGGCCAGTCCAGAGCTGCAGTTTATCCCAGAGACCCCACAGCCAGCGGTGGATTTGGGAAACAGACGCAGGGTTGGCTAGAACCAGCCCATCACGCATTCCCCAGAAGGCGGCTGTCCCCTTTTCTAATGAAATTCAACAACAACAACAACAACACAAGAACAGAATTCGCCCATAAGTTTGAACTTGTGGAAGCAGTATACTTCATATTATGAAGAAAAAAATGGAACGTCTACAAGCTGTTCAGGTTTCATCATTTCTCCTACCAGCCAGGGGCAGACTGTGCTCTGAGAACTTTCAAAACTTAAAAAAAGAAATGACACATACGGCTGTGTCTACTTACGTAAAGCTATCTGAAGAATCAATTAATTCCCTAAAAATTTACTGAATTGCCTCACCTCAGCCCACCATCCAATACAGAGATTCTTCATGTAACTGAGGAAAGAACGCTTGCGTGTCCCAATATATTATTTTTCTCTACTTCCCTAGCCGAAAGTAGGCATACAAAAACAGCACTATCACCTCTCATGGGAGCTTGCTTCAGGTTTTGATTTTTCTAAGACGCTACATTTCTCCCTCCATCAACCCTCCTTTATTTAAGCTGCGGACCGGGTTCAGCACAGTCACTTAGGACTTTATAATCTCAACTTGAAGACTGCATGCAGCCCACAAATCACCCTGGCTTATTTTACAAATGGGTCCTGTGTCATTGGCAAGCAGCCCCTCCATTAAATACCCATCAATAAAAACAGCTTTAAAGCTATCTCTAAGATGGAATCTATTATTCCAAAGCCCCTCCAGGCTAAAAGCACATTAACGGTGAGTATAAAACAAGGGGACCAGGGTGAGACGATCTGATGTATGCGCAGACACCATGAAAGGAGACAGTTTCTGTCAACTGTAGGGAGAACTCCTATATGAACGAGATGATACCCACAGGAAAGTGTAAACAAAAATAAGAAAAAAGGAGGTGGAGGTTGCCCAAAGATACCAAGCCTCGAGGACCCAAAGTCCACAGGGTGTCGGGCTACTGTTCAGAGGTGAAGGGAATATCCGTCCCCACAGAGGATGCTGACAGAGCTGGGGGAAGCAAATGAACCCCCCAGTAAACATGATGCTGCAGGTCAATGCCCAGAAAGATGCTAAGGACTCGTCCCAGGTGCCCCTTACTCACCGGCACACTTTGTTCTGGTTCTGAGGGCTGGCCCAGGAGACCCAGTGCCACCCTCCCCCGGCCTGGTGAGCAGCACACTGATCTCATACTCCGTATCCGGGTCGAGGTGCCCAATTTTGTAACTCGTGGAGTCCACCGGCTGTCGGTCATTCCAGCTCCCACTTGCTGTGCAGTACTCCACCTCTCGGGCGACAATGGGCCCATCCCCATTGATGGAGTTGGCGTTGAGTTGAATCCAAAGGTAGGTTGCCCCCACGGAGGCAAGCTGAGGTGGAGCAATGGGAACGGGGGGCTCTGGAAGGCAAGTCAGAGAGCCATCTTTCAGACACCTCGCTCTTCTGTTTTAAACCAGCTAAATGTACATCAATTATTAAAATACAGAAGCTGTGAACATGTCAGGAATGAAGGGATGGGAATGGTTCTGTTTAGGTTATTAAGAAAAAGCATACTGGTGAAGCCTTTCACAATGTTCAAATCTGTGAAATAAACCATCTTTAAAACCTAAGCTTGATCAAGGAGGGATACCCTCAGTTTGTTTTAGGACACAACTCATTTTTCTCAGGCTCAAAGGATTTTTTTCCCACTAAAAGTAACTTGCTGAAGCTCTCCTGATGGTAGTGCTTAAGCTCCAGGAGGCACTCTATTGCCAACTTCCTTATTGAGAATGTCTTCGAAATCATCAAAGGTGCTAGTTACCTATCTCATTAAATTCAGTTTCCTTATATTATTCCACAGATATCATCAATTTTAAAACATGGCCGAAATTATAGTTTCTCTCAGCATAAATGCATTTCCAGGATGACTTGTTGCCCAAAAAACCCATCACAGTGGACTCATTTGGCCGCAGAAGTGAGACGTCTGGATAACACAGCCCACCACAGCTGCTGTTCAAGGAGCCTCCCGGAATGAGTCTTATGAAAGCAAAGGGTAGAAAGAAAAGCTCTAACACAAAGTGCAAGCCATGCCCAGCTTGGTAAAATTCTAAGCAATCAAGAGCAAATACTCTTTAAACCGAAGAAAGTCTCTTTCATTGTTTAAAACCTGAGATGGACTCTTTCTACATCATTGTCTGAGAATGGAGAAATAGGCAATCTTGTTTTAAATAGTATTCCCAGTCTGTCAGTGAGGTGTTGGTTGAATGGCTTGCCGGCCACCAAGTGAAGGCATCCTATATTGCCCAGTGTTACTGTACATCATACTGGGAAGGGAGATAACTGTATAAAATAGCATATTTCTATCTTCATGAATCTCCATCAGAGAAAAAAAAATTAAGATCTAGTGATTTTCTTTTTTTGTTTTTTTTTTAGTTTCAGAGGTAGACGTTAGTGATTCATCAGTGGCATATAGAACCCAGCGCTCATTCCATCAAGTGCCCTCCTTAGTGCCCATCACCCAGTTACCCCATCGCCCCCACCTCCCCTCCTGCAACCCTCAGTTTGTTCCCTAGAGTTCAGCGTCCCTTATGGTTTGGCTCCCTCTCTGATTTTTTCTTTTTCTTCAAGCATGTTTCCGCAGGTGGTTTGTGTCTCTTTGGGCTGTGTGTATGTGTTTCAACTCCTCAGTTAGCACATCTGAATGCACAAAAAATAGAGCCTGCTATGTTCCATTGCTGGCATATGCTGGCTTGCATGCTGAAAATTCTGTCAGCTCCACAGCAGACACAGCCAACTAATCACGGTCCTGTTTCCTGCTGAAAGGGATCTCACTGCAGACCATCTGACCTTGGCCCTTGACATGATACCTGGTGGATCCCTAGACTAAGATACCAATAACAGTAGTTCTCCTTGTTGGGTAGGGGTGGTCTTTGTTCTTTTTCTGTATTCAGGGTACAGTGAATCTTACTGACTTTCAAAAACAGCTGGGAAATCTCATTAGACTGAGTCAAAATAGACACTAAAGGATGAATTGTATTTGAAAGACTACAAAATTCATATAGACTTACTAAAAATACTGCTCCTGTTGTTTATAAACTACAACTTTGTGCTAGCTCCTCATTTCTTTAAACAGTTCTTACTCAACTCATCATGATTTAATATCAATTTATATCATTAGGCGATTCCTTGAACCGAGACATGAAATGGGCCTTTTATAGTATATCCCATGGCAGTTACGTAGCCAGGCTGAAAGGGCAGTTAATTACTCTGAAGTTGCAAATGCTAGCAAGGGTTGCTGAACTGCCATTCAAAATGCAACTCAGGGGCAAGGCCACGAAGGTTAGTGAGCACACCAATTCATTTAGGATATTGTTACTAGTATACTAAAATAGACATGACTTTAATGTTTGCTTGACCTGAGAATATTTTCTCCATTAATTCCCCATGAAGAAAAGTAACAAATATGTGAAATCAAATGAAAGATTCCACTGGAACCTGGAACAATTGTACTAGACATTCCAAGGGACTTTTGGGTTGCTGGAAGAATCCGTACAAGAGTAAGTCAATATTTAAATTTTGAATAATTTTTCTCAAAGTGAAGGAAGGAAGAAAGGAAGAAAGGAATTCCACCTATACTAAGTGATAGAAGGCAATTTAAAATGTATGATTCAAGCCCACTTATACCTGGATTTTTTGCAGTACTGTAAACGTATTTTCTCTTCCTCATGATTTTCTTAATAACACTTTCTTTTCTTTAGGTTACTACAAGAATACAGTATATAATATGTATATGAAATGTGTGTTAATCAATTGCTTATGTTATCGGTAAGGGTTCCGGTCAACAATAGGTTATTAGTTAAGTTTCTGGGGAGCCAAAAGCTGTATGCGGATTTTCAACCATGCAGGGGTTGGTGCCTCTAACTCTCGTGCTGTTCAAGGGTCAACTGTAATTCTAAACCAAGCCAGCAATGAAAGAATTTACACACATACAGATACGTAAACATATATCTAATGATAAATATATGTGAATGCCTAATACATATCTCACATAATTAAATGATATTGATATACATGCATATATATACAAATTGTGGAGATTCTATGAAATATTTTTTATATCCCAGATTATCAAAAGCAGTGGGAGACATGAATAAGATAGGAATGACAGTTAATAAATGACATGGGTTTCATTTGGAGGGCTGGCACCAAATCAGTATGTGACCTTAAGAGAATTACAAACGCTATAGACTTTAGTTTTTCCCATTTTCAGAAGATCAACACTTCAAATACTACATGCATAAAAAAAAGAGTTAAATTATATACAAGTGGCCTCAAAAGTGTCACTGAATATTTTAAAGTAATTATCTCAAGGTAATACTTTATTAAGTATAACTTGCTAGTAGAATTCAGCATGTTATCTCATTTTAAAATATAAAATATATGAAAAATATGGCTATAAAATCATAAATGGAGGAAAAGTCAAATTTCAGATTTGAGCCACAACTGTAAGCTGGCTGTCCCGGGTTTGGTCATGTGCAGAGATGAAAAGAGATGCCTGGACATTTTTATCACAATGAGCCAAGCAACCACTATGCCATCATAAGACAGGAAAATGTGCTGCATAAATGTGAATAACAACCCATTCATTCTTTGTGCTCACATTTGCTCTGGAAGACTAGAAATTTATGATTTACCTACACCACCCAGAGAATGGACTTTTCCACAGAGGCCATTTTTAGCAAGGTTATGAGATTTACATTATACTGATAATGAAGCATGATGCCTTAAAAACATGGCTGGTCACAGTGAAACACTGTAGCAACTATCAATCAGAAAATGGAATACAATCACAAGAACTGAGCCAAGAGGAACATTAAGTACTAATAATGATAATAAAGAACTCAGCCATGGAACACTGAGGCTGCTGCTGCTTTACTGGATTTGTTGGCAAACAGTGTCCATTTTCTACACGGTGACTCCTTGCTTCTCAGAGAACCTTCTGCAGAGTAGGGTGTGCATTACTGTGAAGAGTTAGTTTTCTTATGGCTATTAAACCTAAACTCCTAAACTCAAGTCCTAGTCAGACCAGCTAAAGTTTCACTACAAACCAAAATTCCTAAGAATATGCTGTGGCAAAATTTATTAGCAGGGTAGATATTTCAATGTGCACAACGTCAGTCATTGCTGCAAATTAATACTGCTTGGGGCAGGCTCACCAATAAACATTTCTCTCATAAGCCAGGAGTCATAAGCCAGGAGTGACTAATATTGGCAGCAGGGATTTCACAACAGAAGCATATGCCAAAATCACCTATAGATTTTATAACAGAGGCCGTGTCCCCAGAGATTTTCATTTAATATGGGTGTGGTGGGGGGAGGGAAGAATAGATGGGCAGGCATTTATGTTTTAAAATTTGGAAAGAGGGCTGTGACAAGCGTTTCTAAATGAAGCTCACTGATGTACAGGAGCAGAGGGTTACAATCACCTCACTCCTCCCCACCTCTGCCCCATCATGGCCCTAACAGGAGCTGGCTGCTTACTATGTATACTGTTCTAAGTGCCTTTCATATACTTTTTGCACTTGACCTTCTTGATCACCCTACGGTGTAGGTGCCATTATTAATGTCTATTTTATACTTTATACCCTGGCCCATGCCCATATAGCTAGTTCTGGGGTTTGAACCCCACGGTCTTTAAAACTGCTTACACAGAGAAATTTGCTGATATGAGGAAGAACCATCCAAAAGATATCAGCTTTATGTTTTATATTTAACAAATGCAGGGGAAAAAAAATTCAAAAACAGGCATCATGCTGTTCTCCTAGGACAAAACAGCAATGGCCTGCCACGAATTACCTAAAAATGCCTCACTTTACATCTAGAAGTCCAAATTATTCTGTCTGGGACCAAGAATTGCCCTAGCAGTTTAATACCATAAACTCCTCAGCCCACAAAAAAAGCAATAGACCAGCAATGGAAACTTATTTTCCCTCTTTTTTTTTTCCCTCATACCCCACCTCCCTGAATATAATGACTCAATTTTTCAGTCATGCAAAATATAGTAATGGAACCTAACTGCGACATTACGAATGTTAAATCAGTATTATCAGTATGGCTTGTGTGATATGACTGAGCATTTTTATACTGTCATTACTTCATTTTATTAACCACCCTGCTATCATAAACACCCTGGCTGGTGAATATTTGCATTTTAAGTGATTTTCTATCAGTAAAAAAAAAAAAATGCATTCCTTAAAAAAATTTATAGGTTGTAATCTCTGTATACAGAGTTGGCAGAAGAACTTGCTAAGAGCACATTCAGTGCTTTTGTATGCAACTAAACCAACATAAATAAAATACATTTTTCAAAAATATTGCTCACATGCAAAATTTGTACTTAAAATGCAATCCATCAATATAGCCTGTCACCAAGCTCCTGTTCAGAGACAGACAAGGATAAGTTTGAGCGTTAAATAATGAACTCACGACCATCTGACATGTCTACTTTAATAGACTATTTAGGGGTATAAAAATGCGTTAAATACCTTTAACTACCAATTCTGCATAGTTTGATATTCCAACACCTCCTTCGGTGCGAATCATGCAGCGGTACTTCCCAGCATCTCGTTTTGTTGTGTTCACGACATTAAAGGAAGCTATGAATCGCCGGGAACTAGTCACCTTTATTTCCTTGAGGGGAGCATCACGCACATCAATGCCCTGTATAAATGGGGGTGGGGGACAAAAAGAGACAATATCAGCTGTCATATCGGACCGGTAAGATACCTGATGGCTATTATCCATGTTCTTTCCATGTGGATCTGGGTTCCGTTGTTTATTACCCAGGGGTTCTAGTTCTAGAGGAACAGCTGGCCAGGAAACTGAATTTCTGCCATGATCAACACTTTCAAGATTGAGGGATGCAAAATCACGTGTGCAGAAATATCTTGCTTTTGTCCTTTAAGATATTAATTACGTTAAGTGAGCTCACCAGGAGTAGAAAAATGCATATGGAAAAATTCTTTATTTGACTCCCAAACGATCACCATTTGGTATTTTCATACCACTTTGTCTCATGTTTTTATGCTTGGCTAGGAAACAAAACTGATTCACACACTACCCTATTGCCAACCTCATTTTATCTATGAACAAATAATTTATTAAGAATTACATTAAAGACATAAGTAGGTATTAACATATTCCTTACCGAATAGGTCTGATGGACTATTCTAAGCTTTACGATGTTCTTCCAGGATACAAAAACCAAGTAGATGCTCAATATTACTTGAGATTGAAATGCTACAAGAGAAGTTTCTCCCCATCCCAGAGTTTCAAAACCACATAAAGCAGGTTCCCTCCATGTAGCACCTTTGTCTTACACTATCCTTAACACATGAAGTACGTCTTTAGTTATGTGGCCTTAGAAATCCATTATATGCTTCCTATAATTTAGAGTCTCATAAGAAGGCTACAGATTTTAGTTCTTAATAGCTGTTTACAATTCCCAGGAAAGAGGCTATCTTTAATATGTCATATGCAAGCATTGAGTAGAAAACAATGGGCATAGACTTTACAGCTAACGCATGATGCCAAGCACTCTGTCCATTTGTTCACTCAGAATCCATTCTGGGTGCCAACCAGGTGCTATCAACTGTGTTAAGACACTACAGGCTCACAGTAGGGAATGACAGAAAAGTAGTTATGGTGCCCATGGCACTTTAGTTAGTGGGAAGCACAGGCCGGAAATACAGAATCACAAGTGATGGCCAGTGTGGAGAAGGGACAGATCAGAGGGCTGGCAGAAATCACCATCTTTAGATATGGTGGCTGTGGGAGGCCAGTTTGAGGAAGTGAGCTGAGATCTGAAAGGCAAGGAGGAGCTAACCAGGCAAAGGGAGAGGGTGCAAGAGAAGGGGCATTCTGTCTAGTCAGGGGAAACTGGGCAGGAAGCCCGAGATGGTTAGAGAGAACAGAAAGCTTTGGATGAAATGAAGGCAGCCCGTGGAACCAGGGAGGTAAGGAAGCACCTACGCATTCAGGGACTTGCAGGCTATATTAAAGTGTTTTTATGTATGAGTATGAAAATGCTAAGCTACACATAATAAAACTCATCTATATTACTCGGTGATTTATATTATGCAAAGTCGTTTAAAAGCTTTTATCCGTGATTTTTTTTTTCTTTGGCAGTATGCCCTAATGGGCACAGGTTTGGAGTTAAACTGACCAGGGTGCCAAAGCTAACTTCAAAGTGATTTACCTTCCTAGAGCCTCCCTTCCCTCATCTGTAACAAGATGATATGACTCACTTGCAGGGCAGTTGTGAGAACTTAAAGATATATACAAAGACACTGGCTTACTGACTGGCACCACACATCCCCGCCCCCCCAAATTCCGGACCAGCTGAGTGATGAGGTCAAGGAGAAAGGTGGACAGGCTGTCAAAGTACCACTTTTATTACCTGTGAACCTGGTATTACAGAATATGGCTGAGATGCAGTAACAATGGGCTTGCTAACACTGAAGCACAGAATCAAACAGACTCACCCACCCGGCCACAGGCCATCTGAGAAAAGCACAAAGGCCTCCCACATGTTGGGTGCTGCTGTAAAACTCACAGGATGGAAGAACAGGGCTCCTACAGGGGGTTAGCTCCCAAAGAAGGGGCTGGGCTGTGCATGCTCCCAGCTTCCTTCCCAGGCAGCTCCCGCTTGGGCAGAGAAAAGGCATCAGAGTGCTGCACTGGTACAGTTCCTGCCGCAGGGAAGGAAACATCAGGAGTGGGGAAGAAGAGTTCCACCAACATCACCTTCAGTGTTATCTGTCACAGCGGCTTTGTTAATAGCTTAAGAAGTTATAAATCAGAGCATGAAGTTCCATAGATATCTTACATGTCTTATGTCTGTCCTGGTTTTTACTAAATCCCCCAAATTTGGTCTGACAGAGCACACCAAGGACTTAGGAAAGTGAAACAAAATGGAATCAGTCTGGCATCATTAATTAATACAACGGGGGACAGCATTCCTCTCTGTAGTCCACACATTCAGTCTCCCATCCTTTCTCGCAAATAAATAAACAATCCAATTCTACCAATAGGAGTAAACTCAGATCTACTAACGCTATAAAATGCAGTCTGTCTTCTTCCAAACTAAAAACAAAACAAAACAAATCTAATCTACAAATTTGAAAAAAAATTAAGCCCTAAAGAAAGGCAGATTTCATATCCGTAAGTATTTGTTTTATTAATAACAGCAACAAAAAAAGGCTACCTACTTATTTATTTACTCACTTGTGGCATGAATCCCGTAAGAATATGCTTCTGTAGTAATCCCATAGTATCTTTCCTGCTAGAATACGCCTACTTCAAAAGAACGTTCACTCAAAAGAATTTGGAAGTATGCAGTTATTGATCACTCAAAACAATTCAAGGCTGCAGGGAGGGCTCTCAAGTTTGAGAAAACCTCTGTTTTGGATTTATACATATGTTGAGAGGAGTATTACTTCATAGTTCATGTCTCCATGCCACAGATTTATTCTTTAAAATAAACAGCTTCAAGCTAACAACTCTACATGACTCCAGTACATCAACTCTCAGGACTGGGGCTTTCTTTTTGAATCCCATGTACTGAGTCACACAGAAAGTTAGATTCAGTCTCTTCAAGAAAAGTAGTGCATACAAAAGAGAAACCAAGTGCTAACTAATGATCATTTTAGCTTAGGACCCATACCAAATCATAGATCTTGTTCAAGTCTGCAGGTCATTTTGTATTAAATCATTCAAAGGTACGTGGATCCAAGCATTCATTTAACCAACACTTTGTAAAAATCTCTTATGAGGTAGATACTGTATCATATACAGGGAGAATGGAGTTAAAAGAACAATCCCTTACCTAATCGAACTTAAAGTCTGGTGAGAAAAACAGCCAAGGCAGTGATTATAGTACAAAGCAATAAACTGCGTAACACAGCAAGCCCAGAAAAAAGGGACCACACTGGAGAAGGGTGTGAGGGTTGGGCCAGCTTTCTAGAAAGCACTACTTGAGGCCAGGCTGGAGGATGCATAGGAGTTTCTCAGACAGGGAAGGAGGAGAAATGGAAACCAGTGAGTGAGAAGAGCTTTGCAAAAGTCAAGAGCCAAGACAGCATGGAACGATATAGGAAATACAACTGATTCCATGCAGCTAGAACAAAGTGCGTCTGGAGAGGCAGGTGATGAGGCTAGAAGGATAAGCACAATATGGCATATTGAGGATTACAGTTTATCTCAATGCCAGGAATGGACAGATTTTAGGTAAAGGGGTGACATGAACATATCTATGGGCACAGTAACAGACTGAAGGAAAAAATGTGGGATCCCAACTGATGTCAAGGGAAATTGGTAATTTTTTTTAAGAAATCAATAAGTGACACAAAGAGGGATGAGAGAGAGGGAGGAAAGGATTCTAAAAATATTTAGGATTCTAAAGATATTTAGGAACTAAAATGGATAGAAAGTGTGTTATACTGCAGTAACATCCTCCTTTTGTAGCAGAGTAGAATGTCTTCAAAGTTAAGAAACAGATCTTACTCATTTGGTGTACATGGCTGCACAAGAAATAAAATTCAATAAATATTTGCTGACTCTAAAAATCATAGCCCCTGCGGAAAAAAATGTTCCATAGGTAGAACAGAAATATGAAGTTGCTAAATTAATAGATTTATACTCCAGATCCTAAAACTGGATAATTAGCCTTTATTTACAAGGGAGACCAATACAGAAAATAAAGATATTTTAGAGATTCTGCATGTCCCTCAGTCAGCAACTGCCCACTCATCATGATTGGGGTAGGCAGAATAACAGTCCTCAGAGATGTCTACTGCCTAGTTCCCAGAACTTGTGAATATACTCCCTAGGCATAGCAAAAGTAAGTTTGCACATGTGATTAAAATAAGAATCTGGAGATGAGACAATTATCCCAGTATCCCTGAATACTAAATTATCCAGATGGGTCCAATGTAATTACAAGGTAGGAGGAAGGTAGGAGGGTCAAATGCAGAAGAAGGAAATGTGACCAGAGAACCAAAGGCTGGAATGATGTGGTTTGAAAATGGAGGAAGGGATCATAAGCCAAGAAATGAAGCAGGTCTCTAACAAGCTACAAAAGGTAAGGAACAGATTCTCCCCTACACCTTCCAGGAGGGACCAGCCTTGCCATCACCTTATATGAGGACTTCTGACCTCTAAAACTACAAGATAATAAAGCCACTACGTCTTTGGTAATTTGTTAAAGAAGCAATAGGACGCTAATACAGAGACCATCAGGATAACGAAAAAGTCTATGGTTTTTCAAAGATATACAGTAGTCCTGAATCCTGATTTGTCAGAGCTACAAGCCAATCTTTAAGATAGGTTTAGGTCTTAAGGGCTAGCAAAAGTTCTATTCACGGGTCATCACTGTAGACAAAACAAAAGAACAAAGTTGAAAGACAAAACTAAAGCTACAGTAATCCAAAGTACAGCGTGGTACCAGCATAAGGACAGACACAGACCGATGGAATCGAGTAGATAGCCCAGAAACAAACCCTTACATACTTGGTCAGTGGATTTTCGACAAGGGTGCCCAGACCACTCAATGGGGAAATAACAGTCTTTTCAGCAATCGGTGTTGGGAAAACTGGATATCCAGGCAAAAGAAACAAAGTTGGACCCTTATCTTTCACTGCATACAAAAATTAACTCAAAAT